GAGATAAGACATGAGTGACATACAACAAATTGAAAGCAAAAAATCCGAACCGAAACCACCGACTAGCAAACTTCCCACGCAACAATTGGAAAAAAACAAAGTCCCCATGATCAGTCCTCGAAAGATCCGGTTCTGGAATGGTTTCCCATCGGTGCTGCCATACATCCTGAGGAGGGACCGGACAATAAACCGAGAACAGTAGTCTAATCCGTATTTTGACTGTAACCAGAATCCGTACCATTGTAGCAGCTGCCAACGCCTGTCGTGACCAAAATCTGCACCGCTGTACCATCGAACCAGCTGCTGTAACTAAAATCTGTACCCTTGTACCATTGAACCAATTGATGTAACCAAAGTCCATTCCGCTGTACCCTTGAACCAACTGCTGTAAACAAAGTCCGTTCCGATGTACCCTTGAGCCAACTGCTGGAACCAAGATTAATTAGTGCTGTGTCCGCCGTAACTACCGACCAGTGCACCTCGACCTCGTGATCCATGCCTCTTGTAACAGCAAAAATGTCAACCCCGTGGCCGCTGGCAGTGCGAAGTACTAACCCGCAGAAAACACTCAATCCCACACAGCACTCGACAACTCACATGCGCACAGCAAAGAATAATTACTACTCTACCTGCAACAGTCTGTCAGTTGTCAGCAAAGTTAGTAACAACTAACTAATTAAAAATAAAAATAAAATCGTTCGCTGGAATTCAAGCTGGATGGAAATGAAACAATAATTGACAATCGAGCAGTTAACTGGCTTCCACCCTCCCCCTCAATCTTTCTTGAGTTGTCACTTAATGTCGACGTTCCGAAAGCTCTGGTTGAGCAGCGTGTCTAAAGGTATGCAATCGGCCCACCACTGTGCCCAAGTCGATGCAACACCGGCCAGCCCCGTCCGTGCTATTTTGATACTCGGCAGAGTCTCTCTCATAGGCTTGGCCTGCCCAACACGACGTTTACAGCGCAGCAGAGCAGACCAAAGGACTCAGCAGCAAAGCATGCGTGCTCTACTGCCCAACACGACCTTTACAGCGCAGCAGAGGTGACCGTGACCCAAGTGCTTCGTCCAGGGCCCTTCAGAGGCAACGCCCGTCTCCCACTAGCACACTCCCCAGGAAGAATGTCAACTCTCAAGGTTGAGCGCTTGCGACACCTCTCTATGAGAGGACCCTCAAGACAAGACTCACTGCCTCACGGTAAGAAGTGATGAAGAGGGTAGATAAGGTAAGGAGCAACCTCATAATGCTGCCCCCAACCACAGATTTCTCACCTGTAACCTGACGTGCACTTATGATGACCGGTCAGTGCCTCGACACAACCCACAATATGATGCAGTTCCACTTCGGCTTAAATGCCACATCATCAAGCTCTCATCATCCAGCGTGCACCCCAATGTCACCACATAGCCTTCCTGGCAGGCCCTCTCTACACAGGGTCGCCTATCTCCCAACGCACAAGCCTTATCACTGCCTCGCCATTTCTCGACAGAGCACAAAACAGCTATTGCACTGGAGCCAGCACAGTGTCTCGGACCAGCTCCGATACCAACTTGCGAGGAAAATGAGCAATAGCGAAATGACAGAATTCCAGATTGCAAAATCACACTCAAAGCCAGATAGTCGATAGCAGTCCAGAAAGCAGAAATGCACTAATATTACACTGAAGGAGAACTCAAATGTCAATGAGAGCACTCTTCTTCCACCACCAACAATGCATTCAAAGCTCTTCCTCCTACTTGGCGCTCAGCGCCCAGACTACGATCACACAGCTATCCTATTAGCCTACAAATTGACAAGCAACCAGTTGACGTCAGCAGCAGCAGCCGAAGTACATGCAGATGTCGATCATGAAGACCTCCACCACGACCAGGTACGTGCTCTCACATCACTTCCTCTCTCGCCCTCACATGCTCACCCTCGACTTCTTCCCCCACGTCCTACCTCCTTCCAAGGACCACCGCCAGTCCCCCGCCAGCTTCCTCAACCCAAGCCCGGCTATGGTGGCCTGTGCTGTGGCGCTGCTCACATTCAACAACCTTGCCCATCACGCCCGTGTGCACGACCAGCACTAACGCGAGACTGCTGCGAATGCCAGCGGTCTGACCACTACTAATAGCAGCGCTGCCGCATCACTAGCCAAATGCCCAAATGTCTGGCCCAGTGGCGAGCTCTTTCCTAAATGGAAAGTGCTCGCCCGCTTTGCTGCCTGCCTGGGCCGCACGTAGCTTCCGGTTGGGCCAAAGTGTCTGTGCCCAGGCCCATTCAGACCGTGGCCTGGGACAGAATTGGTTAGGCGTGCCCAACCACCCAGGCGCAAACGTGCAGTGTTCCCTGCTTCCTCAGCACTCCTGGAAGAGCCTAGAAGGCTCACATATATTTCTGATTCTTACGAGCAGGGCGGATGTAATCAACTGGCGTGTGGCAACTGTCTGGTTCCCACCAAGGCTTTTGTTACGATCCTGGCCAATTTCGAAGTATACATTCATCTGAAAGACTGAAATCACAATGCCATCCAATTGCAAAAAGAAATGAATGAACTTGAGAGGAGGGAGAGGGAAAGAAGAAGAAGAAGAAGTAAGAAAGAAGAAGAAGATGATGTACTCCAGCATAGACCAATGACAAGGCTCTTCTTCTTCGCCAACCAATCTCTTCCTCCTTATCTCCTCCCCTCTTATTCAAACAAGAAATAACAATAATAATGTTGAATGACTGAACCAGAATCAATGTCCGAATCCCACTTCTACTCCAGGCACAACATGAGGTCCACCATAGCCATGGCCACCCTTCCTCTTCCTCTACATACAGGCCGAGGCTATGGCGGAGCACTGAGGGCTCTCCCTCCTGTCCAAAGGACAACCCAAAGCAGCTATGTTGCTGCCCTTCTGTCCCAAGGTCAACACCAAGCAGCTATACCGCTGCCCCACTCAACCCCCATGCCTGACTCTGCCCCGAGCTTCCTTGATGCGGCACTACCCCGACTGGGGCCTTCCAGATGCAGCGCCTAACAAGGTGATGAAGACGGTGTCTGCCATAGCCAGGTAAGTACCCCACCACTCTCCTCCTTGGTCCCCTTCTCCCTCCTCCTCCTACCGGTAGAGCTCCACCATAGCCAACATGGAAGCTCCCGGCTTCTTCCTCCCAGCAGCGCTGTAGTACCCAGCGCCACTCCAGCCAGCGCTCCAGCAGCGTGTCGCCAAACTTGCACACTGAAGAATGAGGCCGAGCTCTTGCCTCAGCCTCTTGATATAGAGGCCTGCTTGCCTCCTGGGCGGTGACTTCCAGGCCGCTCGGCCTCCCAAGCAACCGGTACCTCCTCCCTTTCGGAGGGAAACATCATTGCAGACTCTGATATTGCCCGTACAGGCTCTAGACTCAGACTGGATGGACTGGTACCGGCCTAGACCTCGCCTACCGCTACTGGGCCTCTAAAAATGCCAACTTTGTCTTTTTTTGCTCGGTCTCGAGTACCTGGCACATCTACCGCTACTGGGTGTGGTACCGGCCTACCGGCTACTTGAGTGGTTTTCCGCTGCTCTAAGCACCGTGGGCCCCTGGCTCCGCTACTTGTGTTTTCCCTGATGCAACCCTCAATGCCACAGCCACAGTAAGTACCGGCCCATAGCCAAACAAGCAAGTACCCTTGCGGGTCACACACACACTCATGCCGACAAGCACTCAGACAGGCACGCAAGTCCACAGGCACACACACATACAGACTTAGAAAACACAGCAGAATGCGGGAATCTCAGCAAGGCATCCATTCCATCGGCAGAACTTCAGAAATCAGCAGTGTTTTATGGCGGGTCATTACACTTTGTAAAATTGACGAATTCAGGCCTCATTGAGATTCGGGGCCCCATCTTCAGTGTTTTGAATTTTTCACCACAACAGCCCCTATTACACCCAGATGAGTAGATCCAAAATCGACGCAGCGTTAATGCTATTGCGGACAACGAAGGGCCTTGAGTTGAGACAATCCAACAATGAAACAGCTTCACCTCTATAGCGAGCAACATGGAGTATAAACTGTATAATAGAAGTGTTTAAATCCCTTTCTTTTTTTTTTTTTTTCTTCTTTTTTTTTTTT